TTTGGGGTGACTAAGACCTAAACCCCTAAACCCAAATACCCTCAGGGTTTGTGTGGACCCTTAAACCCTGTCGCCACAGTCCAACCCTTCACCCCGATAAACCCTAAACCCTAAGACCTAAAACCCCTAAACCCTCATGCCCTCAGGCTCCGTGTGGATCATGCCAAGCCCGGCCACTTCTCCGAGCAAATGGCCTGGGTGGAACCTCGGAAGCATGTGCTGCTGACCAACATGCACGCACGTACATATGTGTACATACCTACATACATGCATGCATACATATACACACATATACAGTTACAGACATGTATCCATCCGCATCTTTAAACACATACATATGCATGTGTGTGCGACCTTCGACTTGAAGAGTCCTTTGTCGACAAAGGCCAAGTAACAGCACAGCGACTAGTGCAGCCCCTGCACATAGATCTGGCAGGCATCGGAAAAGCTGAAGCGACTTTAGGAGGTTGCGACATGCTCCGGTGAAATCGATGTCTGCTCTTTGAGGGCTTGGGGTTCAGGGTGGGGGTCTTGCGGTGTCATGAAGACACACACAGCCCAATTAAGGAATATATAGCAAAAATGATAATAGCCCCTTATCATTTACGGTATATTCCTTAACTAAGGGTTTTTGGGCTCTCTGGGCTTGACCTTCAGCACAGCAGCTTCTGCTTGCATGCCAGCCTCAGTGAAGATGATTGCAGGTCGTGGTCTGGCTAGACGTGAGTCCAGTCGGAAAAAACAAGGTGTAGTGTTTTGGGGTTTAAGAGTTCAGGCTTTAGGGTTCTCTCTTGAAAAAGGGTTCTCTCTTGAGAAGATGCACACGGTGAAGAGGAAATACACCCTAAACCCCAAACTCCTAAACCTGAAGCCTGGCACAAGCTTTGGCAGCTCCAAATCCTTCACTGAAAGCAAGTCCCTGGTTGACTGAGGAGTACTCTGCCTCCAAGCCTGGCGAGGACTCGGCACCAATATGTTTTGGAGTTTCATGGATCCTGCACTGAACTTGTCTTTGGAGCTGCGTGCGTCGGTTTAGGGTTCATGGTGCGGGTGTAGGGTTCGATTGGGGGTTTAGGGGGCTCTTGCGTGCAAGCCTGCAGCAAAATAGGGGGCTCAGCAGGCGAAAAGGGGGTGAACGTGAACCCAGGCGTGAAACCAACAAGCCGCGGATGCAAAGAGCGGCTTAGCAAGGGTGCGGTTTCGGAGTTACGGTTACCCGGTTACCCTAAACCCAACACGTTTAGGGAGATTTGTGTTTTCTATTTATGGGTTACGGTTTGGAGTGGCGAATTCGGTTCGCTTCAGCGCGGCATCGGGAATCGCAACCTGCGTGTGCTAGACCAGCCATGCCAGCTTCGCAGTCTTAACAGCCTCAGGCATTGGTAAACCCCCGCGCCTGTAAGCCCGCTATCTGGTAAAGAAGCCTATTAGGAACCCCAAAACGACATAAGCATAAGCATTTTATATGGATATCCCTACCATATTAGGCTTCATTATAAGGGGATTTATGTGGGATATCCCTATCCTAATTTTTGTCTATGTGCTTTTTTGGGGCCCTGCCTAACTGATAGGGATCGGGTGCTGATGGCTTACTCCCCAAAAAAACTCAAATATGAATTTTTCAGGGAGCTCGAAAGAATGCTGTTATCAACTCTTTGCTGAATTCCCTGAGCACTAACCCGCTCAACCGCTAAACCCCTAATGAAACCCCACACCCAAAGATGTGGTTTCGAATCGTCGTGAGTCGCGAACCTTAGTCTGCAAGGCCAGGAGACAAGTCTTGAACACAAGACCTCAATTTAGGGTTTTGGGGTTTAGGGTTTCGGGCTTTGGGGATTTGGGGCTTAGGGCTTTGGGGGTTTAGGGGTTCAGGGTTTTGGGGTTTTGGATTCAGGGCTTCAAAGAGCAAGACACTTGTCAAAGCATGCGTGAAAGAGCGAGAGTCCAGCAAGTCCAGTGGCTCATATCGCTTACAAACTTACAAAAGCCTCGCTACCGGTGAATGTTTGTTGGTTTGGGTATGTTTCTAAACAGACTGTACCCATATAGAAGCCTCAATAATGGCCAATATTATTCTTAGGGTTCCTTATCATAGACCTACTATAAAGAAGCCCCAAACCTCACTCTAATTATTAAGGCCCTTACATTAGGGCCCATGGTTATGATTCCAATCCCAAACCGTAAAGTCGCAACCTCGAAACGGAAAGTTGATCTCCAGGAGCCATTGCCGTTCGACTTGGGCCGCAACGAGTGGGGCTGCCCAAGGACGCCCAGAGAGGGTTGCATATAGGGGCGGACTGGTCAGGGCTGGTAGTATAATCACCTATACTATTTTGGGGTTTCCTTATTCTCGTTCTAGTATAGTATCCCCCCAGAGTCGCTCTATCATCATACGCTAGTGTAGATTCAAACCAGTCGGCCCCTCTGCTAGACCATTCATGATGTGGCCATGCCGAGCCATGGCATGCCACGAGCAAACCAGAGTAATTAGTGCACTTACTGCCGGTGCAGACAAATCGACAAAGTGTGTTTCATTATAATCATAATATGATTATAATATAGTAATGAATTCTTCTGTGCTGTATTATTTGTATTGCATTATATGTTACGCTATGACATATCAAATTTCGTTTGTTATTAGTATTTTGATTATAGCAGTTAAACATTGGATCATGTTTTTACTCAATAGTTAGGTTTTACTATGTTATATTATCTTAAATAACCAACTTACCAAAATAGTTTACTGTATTATTTAGTTGTATAGTGTATTCTATTTTACTAGGTTATAGTATCATATGTTATAGTGTATCATGTTGTATGCTATTTTTCTTGTATTCTATTATATTTCATTCTATTTCAGTATATTGTATTGTATTTTTGTTATAGTATCCTATGCTTCCTTATATTGTTTCCTTCCCTTTCATATCGCATCATACGGTATGACACCGAAGTATAACATATTGTAGTAAAGTATAACATACGTAGTAAGGTGTTTCTGAGGGTCGTTAGTTGCTTGGCCTGAGGTCGACTGGTTGGAACCGGCTTGGTGTAGTGACAGGGGTGCTGTTTTGCAGAGATACGGTTTAAGGCTTACCCATAGGCCCCGTAGTAGTTCCTTTTTGGGGTTCATATTCAGAATCCCATAAGGTAAGCCCGAAGAGGAACTACTATGGGGCCTATGGGTAGTGTTTCCCAGAGATGCAGTTTGGGGCCTAGGGCTTAGGGTTTAGAGTGGCTTGTACTCGCCGGCTACGAAACAAGAGCTGATCTTGCCAGTTTGAGTGCGAGAGCATAAACTCATAAACCCTGAAAAGCCCCCACCTGCAATTCCTCAACAGCCCTACTTGGAGGCCCAGCAGACTTAGTAAGTAGGTTATAAGTAGAGTTATAAGTACCTTAACGGTAGTTACCCCCAGTATTGCCCTACTGATAACCGACTTACTAAGTCCCTGGGCTTCCAAGTACGTCTTTCCCAGGAACCCGGCGTGCGACCACTTCCCTGATTTTCTTCTGCTGCCACAGGTCGGCGAGACACTAAAGCATAGTCCTACCAAAGGGAGTTATTAGGGTTTAGGGTTTAGGGGCTTAGGTTTTAGGGAAACCCAACCCAGCTTCAGCATCCGTTGTCCTCAGGTCACGGATTGTTGATTTCAGGATCCCGTTTCGAACTCAGCTAGTTAAGTCCCTACGTGTTCTCACAATATTCATGGTACTGAAAGTGGGCCCTATTCTACTCCTGCCCTGCCCTAAGCCCTAAATCCTTGTTGCTAGACCCTACTTTACCCCAGGCGCCTTACCTGAGCGGAATTTCGTTCTCGAGACGGAACGGCCTCTCAAGGGTTAGTCGTTTAGGGGTTTAGGGTTAAGGTTTAGGGTTTCAGGGTTCAGGTTTACGGTTTAGGGTGTAGGTTTAGTGTTTAAGATAGGAGTTTAAGTTTGAAAAGGCCTCCATGCCGTTTGGCGCTGTGTGGACTCATGCAGTGAAGCCGTTGCCAACTCGGCCGACTACGCAGTAGGGCAGTTCATTGCACAGGTCACATTCAAAAGACTGCGGTCGTTGTTCGACTCAAAAGCACATTGCGTCCGAGAAGACCCCTTCAGCACGCGAGAGACAGAGACAGAGAGCACCGCTTCGCTCTAACGGATACAGACACAAACCCTGTTTCAGCTTCCTAAAACCCCTTAACCCCAATACCCTAAACCGTAAAACCCTAAACCCTTAAACCCCTAAACCCTAACCCTAAACCCTAAACCCCTAAACCCTAAACCGTAAAGCCCTAAACCCCTTAACCGCCCTTATCCGCTAAACCCCTGACCAGCCCAAACCTTTCGAAGCGGAGGCATCCCTCGAGCATCATCTCTGAGGGGGGCCATGGGGGCCCTGAGGGACGTCAAGTTAGGGTTTAGGGTTTATAGGTCTGAGGGACGTCAGGGAGAAGAGCAGCGCAGTGGTGAGGGTTGGAGGTTTAGCTAGGGTTCAGCGTGTAAGGGTTTAGGGTATAGATTTTCTTTGCCAGTGTAGGGTTGGGATTTGGGCTTGAGGTCGGTGTCGAGTCTAGAATTCGAGTTGTTTGGGCAAAAATTTGTGGGATTGTGATCGCAAGTCAGATAAGCTGAAACAGCTTTCATGGAAATGAGTCTCACCCGGCTGGGACAGAACCGCTCGTCGATGAAACGGGCGGATTGACGCAAGCACCAGAACCACCGACGGCGCTCGAAAAGGACTGGGGGTAATGGAAGCATGTTTTGAGCAATGTTCCAAAAGGCTCTGTGGCTTTTTGGTAGTTTGAGAATGCCTTCTGGGAGTCGGGCAAGACACGTTCTGAGACCTTGCCGCCTGGCCACATGTTCCACTTATTCTGCAGGCTGCTTTCTGTTGTGCTGGTACTCGTATCGACAGACATGTCTATGTATTGACACCTGCATACAAGAAATCTACGGCTCAAGGCGAAACCTCCCCACGACCTTTGCAAAGCATCCGAAAGGCGAAGCTCGTAGTAATGGCAGCCGTTTGCCCGATTTGCTTCGAAGACGATGTTCAGCCTGTTGTGTACGCCACCATGCACAACCACAGCTGGCAGAACCGACATTGCGATGCTCATGGCATCTGCTGGAACTGTCTGAACCGCTATGTGGAGATGCAGATTCTGGAGGAGGGCCGGTTCAACCTCAAGTGCCCCGGAATCGGTTGCAACTACCGCCTCCTCCCCCTCGATGTGGAGAGGGCCTTGGCGGCATCAGAGCCGGAACGCCAGCAGGTGGCGCTGGAGCGCTACGGCAGCATGCGCAGCGCGAGCCATGAACAGAGACTTCGGGAAGTCGCCCTTGGAACATCCGGGCCTTCCGAATCTTGGCTCCTCCAGGAATGCCAGGCATGTCCTCACTGCCTTTCATTGGTTCGGCGGGAGACTGGCTGCCTTCACGTCTTCTGCCGCTGCGGCTGCGACTTCTGTGCCGGCTGCGGCAGTCCCGACGACTGCCTTTGTGCTGCGCTGGACAAGGACCGCGACGTCGTCTTCGCAGCATGGCTCCGAATTTCCCCGGATTCACCCGTTGCATGGCTGAGGGACATGCCCAGCTCTGACATGTCGGAGGAGCGGCTGTTGGGCACGTTGGGCTTCTTCCTTTGGATGGCCTACCTCCCGGTGGATCTACCCTGGGTACGTGCCCTGGAGGAGCCGGAGCATTCCCTCCCGCCCCTGCGCTGGCGATGGTGGTTCGTCATGACCGAGGAGGAGGCATTCAACAGGGAGGCCTTCCCGGAGATCTTGCGCAACCCACTCGGCTCTTATGGCAACCTGGTTAACGGCGACGAATCCGAGAACTGGTTCCAGCACTATCGGCGCGTACCCCGTCGGCCCTGGCGTCTCTTCGCCACTCAGCGCTGCTCTCGGCGACAGGACCGCTACCACTACGCGCCCCGGCCTTGCAAAGACGTCAGGCCTGGGACCGGGGATGCAGCTGCGCCCGATCGTCGCCGACGGCAGCCGCGAGCTGTCTCGACAGCAGCTGCTGCTCGCAAGGTGCAAGAACAGCGCAAGCGCCGGCAGCAACTGCGCAGCCGCTTCAGGGAAGAGCTGGTGCAGATGGACTGAGAGAAGTTTAGGCAGATGCCATTTCGAAGGCGAGCCTTCCTGCTGTAGATAAGAAACCAAGCCATCCCAGCAAGGAGCATTTCACATCTTTTCCCGAGCCGAAGCCTTGTTATGTTCGCATTTCGAGAGGATATAGAGATCTGTGCAAGGAGCTCCTGCGTTTAGGGGGGTAGTTTCAGTTTCTGTTGCTCTGATTTGAGCGTGTTTCCCGGCACGTCGTTCTAGATTCCCACGTGCCGGTCGGTGTACAGTGTACAGGTTTCTGATCCAAGGTCTGCTTTGCAGCCAGATACGTGTCAGCGGTTTGAGTGTTGAGTGTTTTTATTCGCAAGAAGCTTATGTGGCATGTGTTGTACATTGTACAGATTTGACTCAATCTTGGTGTGCCAGTTGATTGGGCGTCCAAAACAAGATCCGGATTTTGCTCGGCCTAGTCCCTCGTCACTTGATGCCGCCATGCTACGGGATGCGTCTTGATATGTATTTGCTTGCGGGTTTATTCTTTATTGGCCTTTGAGCCCAACCTAGGACCATCCGCTCATCTCGTCACTTCCAACACCTCTTCCCGATCCCGAGACTTGGGTTTCAGGTCCCGAGTGTCCCTTTATGCTACTGTACCTTAAGGACGAAAAGGACCTTAAAAGGAGGGGCCTTATTCCCTTTATAGATCCCTATATGTTATATGAACCCTAATCCCTTTTAGGGCTCTTTTCGTCCTTAAGGTACTGCCACACTTATAGTGGACCCCGTGGTGCTGACTTGAACCTCACCTGTAGTGTGATCCCGAGACGCATCCTGAGGGTTACACTGCGAGCTGTCGTGTATTGGGCTGTGATGTGGGTAGTTCTCTAAATTAGGGTCCCCTTTGAGGTCCCCATTACAGTACGGCACCCGTATAAAAAGGACTTAAAAAGGGACCCCAATTTGGAGAACTACCCATGTGTATAGGGTACCGATCAGAAGCGCATCCCTCGCATGAAAGGATTTGGCACCCTGTAGATGCCATGATAGGAGCCTTATAGAAGGTCTGTATACCTTATAGAAGCCTTATACCCTAAACTCCCCACCTGTAGTTTCCTTTAATTATTGGGACGGGTGGCCCAGGCAAAACAAGGAGGGCGCAGTTGTGACAGTGGAAATCCGCGCGCCGGGCACCCGGTCGGCCTCTGTTTTCCCTGCGAAGATTACTACTTGATGCATCTCGAATCTCCGCTTCATTGACACATGTTCAGTCCCTTTTGCGCTCCTTGCTGATGAGAGTGATATGATAGTGTTTTGGGGTTCCTTTAAAGGCTTCTGTAAGGGCTACTGGAAGGGCTTAGGCGGTTTAGGGTTGAGGGGCCAGACTTCTATCGTCCCCCAGACAACTTGAGGAGCTTTCGGATTTGAGTTCCTGATTTTCGCGCACAGACGTCCGGCACATTCATCATTCAAGGGTGCCTGCCATAAAGGCATTTCACACCACCCTAAACCCTAAACCCTCAAAAAAACCCTAAACACCTAAACCCTAAACCACTCATTCTTTCAGGATCCCTTGTTGCAAGCCTTGAAGGAACCTTCAGGGAACTCCATCTCCTTGCTAGGGGCGGCGCGGCGCCCTGTTACTTGGCAGTCCTGCTCTGTTTCCAAAACTCTGAACCCCTAAACCCCTAAACCCCTAAACCCTAAACCCCAAGCCCTAAACCCCTAAACCCCTAAACCCTAAACCCAGGGCAGGCATATTTACCACGCCCAAACTCACTCTCTCTAATTAAATCCCAACACTACTCATTCATCACATGACCTCCTTCCACACTCCACGATCCCAACTTTGTCATCCCAATCGTCGATGTACTTGGAACCTCGCCAGGCTTGTCCCAGTTGTGAGTGCTGAACCCCTGAACCTAAACCCCTGAACCCCTAAACCCTAAACCCTTAAACCCTAAACCCCTAAACCCCCAACAAAGGCCTGGCATTGCCCGAAACCCTAAGCCCTGAAACCCGGAAAGCGCTAAACCTGCATCGTAGTTTCGTCCTAGCCAGCTGGGAAGCAAAAAAAGCACTGCCCCTAAACCCTGATGTATGGAGGCGAGACACCGTGAAGGAGCTGAAGTCCAAGGCCATCTTCCGGACATTTCTGTGGGAGCAGAGTTGGGGAGGGATTCTGGGGCTTGAGGGTTTTCGGGCTCAGGGTTGGGTCTTTGGAGGTTCAGGGTTTTGGGGCTCAGGGTTTTCAGTTTCAAAGTTTAGGGCTTTTAGGGTTCAGGTTTGTGGTTTAGGGTTTGATTTTTGGTGGGGTTCAGGGTTTTGGCGAAGTTTCTCTGGCCATCCGGGTTTGGACCATAGTTGAAGTACACCCGAACCCTGTTCGCGAACCCCAAACCCCTAAGCCTCAAGCTTGACCAATGTCCACACCCCCTGTGGTATGATGTAGGGGCCGGACCAATTAGAACAGGGTTTGGAGGCCCCTTATGCTATAATACTAATAATAATAATAAGGAACCCTGTTAACCCAGAGTATTGGTAATTATTTAGGCCCCTACATTACCCCAGACCTCTCTCTCTCTCACATACCGACACGCCTTAACCTGAAATGGCGTACATCCAACGAACCCCGAAGACCGGAAGATGCATCTTTCGAATCCAGCCGCGGGCCCGAGTTACGCCCGTGCTGCCCCGGAGCTTCTGACACGCCTACACGGGCCCGGATCATCCTCAACCTGTTCGTGGGCTTTGTTCTTCAACTTCCTCAGTTTCTTCATCTTCTGCTCATCATCATCATCATCATCATCATCACCATCACCATCATCTTCACCATCATCATCATCATCATCATCATCATGGTTGTTGTTGGTGGTGGTGGGACGGCGGTGGTAGTACGGTTGCTTCAACACGAAATTGTAACGAGTAATAGTATTTGTTTGTTTTCTTGCAATATCTTCTCATGCAATTTAGCAGCTGTTCATGGTCATTTTCGTTCCAGCAGAAAAAATTTTGGCCCTTAATTATTATAAGGTCCAGGATCACTGCACAGAGCACCACAAGGAGTTGTGCCCTTGGCATTTGGCATGCTCCCAAAAAGTGTGGATGCCATATCAAGACGGCCCGGTCCTTGCCTCAAAATCCTTGCTGCTAGGATACTTGCGCAGTTTTCGCAACTTGGTTGCCAAACTGTGACCCTAAACCCTAAAGCCCGACCCTGAATAGCAGTGTTGTTTGTTCTGGGAGACCTGTCGCTGGAATCCGTGCCTGCCTTGTGCGAGCGTGCGAGTCGAAACCCCAAAACACCAAAAAACGCTTGTGCATGAAGGCTTACCACCAGCTCTCGGTGTGGAATCGGTTCACGGATCCCGATGGGGTGGACGAGGCCAATGCAGAGAAGCTGACTCGGGCGGCGGGGTGCAGAGGTGTGGAACGGGCCGGGAGGAAAACAGGGAGGAAGATTCTCAGTCAAGTAATTGCGAAAACCAAGCAGAGGTAATTTGAAGGTCAGTCTGCTAGGATATGTGCCAAGCAGTTCATCCACGACCTTCGCAAGTGTGTGGCAGCTAGTCAATGAAAAAGTCGTGCTACTCCAACTCCAACATCCCTTTACCAGTTGATCTCTGATTCAGGATCGCTACCGTGCCATAACTTTAATGAATATATAGTGTGCGGTTGTACATAGATACATTACCACGTGCTTATAAATATGTTTATATGCTTGATGTCGAAGCTCCAGGGTTTAGTATGCAAAGTCCAATTTTGCAGGACTCAGCTGCGCTTCCACCCCTGAGCTCCTGCAGGCTGGACGTCTGAGGCGTTCTGTTTTGAATGCTCTCAAGAAAGCGACGGAAATACGACTTCAACATCAGCCCCTGCTTGCCTAAACGTGATGTGAAAAGGAACTCCTCAAGCCAACGCGTCCTATCGCCACCATTCTCCCAGAAAATATCATCAAGACACCGCTCGACACTAAGGCATAGCCGCTGCAAATCCTGTCCACTTAAATAATTACCTGCACTATTTGGGATTTCCTTATCGTAATTATAGTATCATGTACCCGAAAACCCTATTCTTAATCATTAGTTAAGCCCCCTACGGGAAGCACGGCAGCCTGAGCCCTCGAAAGTCTATCAAGAGCCGCTTCCCAGACCCCACGCAAGATGTGGTACTTGATCGGTACTTATAGCGGCCTTGATAATTAGAATTGGGTTTTGGGGCCCATGATACTATAGGTATACATAGGTATTATAAGGAACCCCCAACATAGTATAGGCAATAATTTAGGCCCCTGAATTACTTGCACCAGGCAACCTTGCACTGTTGTGATCCTCGAGCTCAGCAACCCACCCTAAAACCCTACGTAACCTTCTGAAACCTCCAAATAACCCTACCCTAAACTCTAAACCCGATACCCTCGACCCCTGAACTCTGAACCCTAAGCCCTAAACCCTAGACCCTAAACCGAACCCCGTGAAGCCCTTACCCTGAAACTCACCCCCTAGCCCCCTTGAAACCCCCGAGTTGCCCTCTCAGCCGACTCAAGACCGCTTGTGCCTGGCCTGGATTGTCCGAGCGTGAATGCCGAAACCCTAGATCCCTATGCAGGAACCTGATCAAGACACCCTGGGTCCTTCTTAGGGTTCCTTAACTAATCAGGTTCTTACATTGACGTAAAGCCAAAAGCCTGAACGCTGAAAGTGTCAAACCAGAATTGGGTGCTTTGAACAGTTCGTTATGCCCAACGGGACGCCAACACCCTACAAGCAATATACTTAAACCAAATAGAGTAAGGATCAGCACCGATGCCACAAAATAACTCCGGGGCAGCACAAAGTTTATCAGCCCTTGATCCCAAATATGTATATTAAACCCTAAACCCCCAAACCCTAAACCCTCCTGCGGAGTGCGAGTGTGTGTGTGCGTGTGTGTGTCGAACCCTATAACATGGCTGAGTTGAAGAGGTTTTGGGAACCTCGTCGCACAGGCTCGCGCGCAAGACAGGAGAAGAGAGGAAGGCGCTGGACGATCGCAAGAGG